TCCCCTCCCCACCCAGCTAAAAGAACCACTTTATGAGAAGTGGCCACTTCTGGAAGTATCACTGACGTAAAAGGCTTTGTGAAGGTCGATTGAAGTCCTTACCCTCATTAACGAGTTTTCCACACCCTTCGAAAAAGAGGACTCCCTGGGGCCGGGTCATTAGTTACTCCCTGAAGGGGAGGGTGGTGCGGGGCGGAGTATTTTGGTTTTAGAACAATAAATTTACCTGATCTCCCCATAAAGCTCCGTGGTATTATATTGATCTTCGCTAATCAGCATTCAATCCTCTACAGTTGTTCTTTCAAGTCCATGTGATCCCACCCTCTCCCCTAAAAAAAAAAAAAAATTTCCCACAACCTCTCGGACTATAAAAAATGACTCTTCCTTAAATTTCGTTGATTATCCAGAATTTTTAAGCGCAAAGCGAATAAAATTCCTTAATGACCCTCCTCCTCCTCCAAACCCTACCCCAGCCTTCAATTTAGTCATCTGCAGTTTGAATGCCGATAAGATCCGGCGAAAATCTGTCTGCTGGTGACGTAAAAGTCAACAATTTCATCAGATATGCTGCGCTATGCAAATTGGTTTTAGTTTTGATCGTGGTTGTTCTCTAGCAATACTTTGTCATTTTGCTGGCTGAAAACGACGACGTGTTCCCTCAATCGTTCCTGAAATCCTTAAAGAAGTAAGTATAGATCACTTGTAAGCTAAATTTGAGACGCAAATTCCAACTAGTGTTTGATTGACAACGAGACATAGCTTGGCGTGAGATCCACGAAGGGTGTTGTAACAAATTGTTGCTCGTAAGCTCAAACTGCAAAGCTTAACGGCTTTACGAACTAGTTCAACCCTGCTTCATTTTAATCATTTACAAAATGCTAAATCGATTCCGTTTTGCATACAACAATTTGGAAATTTGTCTTTTATTCCGTGGAGAACTTGACAGAATTACTACGATTCTTGATTTGCTGAATTTCAAATCGTTTGAAAATACTGTGGTAATTCATCGTCGTCAAGTACAATATTAGATAAAGTATTATCGTTAAATGCGCTTTGTTTGATGTACAGATCGGGACGTTTTGGATGTTATTTATAAAGAATCATGAACTTTCTTGTCGATTTAGTCATTGTGTATGTTTTGATGTTGGGGAAGTTTTGCGAATGTATGTACGAGGACACCGTGGAAATAAACTGACAAAAACAACTCCGCAGTCGATCAGAGATCTTTTCGAATTCACAATTACTTTCCCCTAATTTTGTAACCTTATATGCTCCTAGCTGGCGGTGTATTTTGATGAAGAAATTATAAGTTGTGTTATTGCTGAAGATTGTGAACTTTATACTGAACTATTCGTTCGAAAGTTTTTCCTTCGGTGAAAGACTCTCAATTTAAAACTTTCTTCTTGTTTGCTCCAAGAATTGTTCCAATGCGGTTCAAAAATAAAATTTGAGCGGAACATTCTAGAGGAAGACATGCGAATATGTTTGACCTCTGTTCAAGAGCTTACTCCAGTTACTTGAAATATCACACCAGACACGACTACACCTAGAAAATCGCCAATTTGAGTATTTTCTTGTTGTTGTCTTTTGTCTGCCTTGAATTCAAAGAGGGAATGTGGAATTGTGTGCAAGTAAACCCCCCTTCCCTTCTCCTCAGAACGCACTCCTGCCGATTCGAGAATTTCTTAAAATGCTGCCTTAAGGATCGGGGGCGAGCTGATGTGCTTTGCTTTTTATAATTTTTTTACCTACATAGGACTAAACAGCTCAGTTTGCACTTAACGGTTCAACGCACAAATGTGACGTTTGTGGTTATCGACGCAAATAAAAAAGACTCAGTGTCATTGGCTTATTATTTGTTGGGGTCACAATACGTAACACACTGATTTCACTTTGAATTCGTGTTCCTGTTTACGAGTTGAAGGCTGGTTGCGCGTGATTAATTTTTTGTTTCTTGCCTTGTCTGGTTGAAATTTTGACGCTTACACGGAAATCAAAACGAACTGTTATACTTACTGCATAGATTCTTTTAAGAAGATTTTTACAGTCTGTTAAAAAAGCTTTTTAAAATGTGTTTTATCCTTGTTTCTACTCTGAAAAGGACTTTAATCAAAAGATTCTTGAACATAATTAAAAATCACACAAGGCACACGTGCCTGAAGGTTGCCCCTTTATCCGCCTTTTTTTTAGTCGATGCTGTTACAATGATGGCTAAATTCATTGGTCTACCCGTCATTTTGACTTATCCTCAACGATCAATTATTTCGGGTGAGGGCAGCCAAACGTACCCAAGAGGAAATAGATTATCTTGTCTCAATTGACGCAGCCCAGTAACTTACTCAGTTAAGTAATTACTTTAGCGAATAAAGAGATATGGCCTGTTGGTATGACATCATATTCATTTGATAAACGCCTTAGAAGTATTATCTTTTCCATTTAAAGTTTCTCGAAGTGTTTTGTTTGTAAATTATGATCTTTCGGATTAGCCCCCTCTCAAGTGAGCCACGAATTTTGTACACTTTTGTAGGGCGAAAGAAGTTTGAAAAATAATCTTGACAAATGCATAGCACCTGCAGGGTGCAGACTTTAAAGCTTGTGAGATCTCTGATGTGGGAGATTAAGAAGGAAAAAAAATAGCAGCAAAGAAAACTACTTCTTTTCGCTAAGTATCTTTTTACATCATGTTCCAAACGTCAGTATTGCTTAGAAGGACGCCTGTTATTTCCAATAGTAATCCTTCTTCCCGCCAGTTTTCATCAAAAATTTCGTTTCGTTTTTCAGTATTCCTTCATTACGCAGGATCAGCTGCGAATGTAATCCTTGACTGATTACGGTCACATAAACCGTGGACAGAAAGTAAACATTTTTCGGAATACTTGCAAAAGAAACCTTAAGGAATAGAAACTCAGTAACTGTGGCAGTGCTCGATGCAGAAGGCGCAGCCTAGCTGCTTCCGCCGGTAGGAGTCCAGAATGTCTAACAGCTTATAGAAGAAGTTTTGATATCCATTAAATAATTGGGTCAAAGCGTTTCAAATGTCTGTGTCATTATGTGATAGGAAGCGATGGACCGAAAATGACAACAAACTACTCTCAATACATGTAAATTTTAAAAATACCTTCCATGTCGCCCTGCGTTTGTTCAGCAAGAAATCATATGTGGCCAGAACAAAAGAGTCGCACACGAAGTGCAGCTGAGTGTGTCACTGATGTTCTTACCACAGTTGTGATGTCATCTGTGATCTGTTACTGTAAAGAGCCTCGGCAACATGGATTCTATTTGTTTTATATAATAAAGGCATTTGTCCTCCAAACGATCATATACCTTTGCTGCTGGTGCACCTTTAAAAGCACGTGATTCTAAATTGTTCGACCTTTGATTGCAGACAGTTCAAGTATTCCCAAGGTTTGTCAAACTTCTAGAACGGTATGTATTATATAACTCACTGATTACAAAGTGAGTTCCAAGTAACCTTTTAAACGGAAATTGCGTGACATGACATTTACGCATTCACAGTTTGGTTAAGATTGAAATAGGAGACGTGATAATTGGAGTGGTGGGACTGAGGAGAGAGTGTTGGAAGTTTGTAAAGTGGTGAACGTTGATGATAACCAATTGAGAGTAGAGTGTACCCCAAAAGTGCGTTACACGTTTTCTCTGAATTTATTTTTGTTTCCGCTCTTTAGCTTCAGAGTAATTATTTATTTCCTTTCACCAAGAAACCACGTGTTACAATTTTACTTAAATTAAAGTTAACTGTCACTTGCGGTGTGTATCATCATCATCATCATCATCGCTCGTTGGGCCAGTAGAGCATAAGGCCGTCACATGGTCCGCCCAAACCCCTGTCGCGTGCCGCTGCCCAGGCCACATTCCATCTCTTCCACTTCGCCTTGCCTCTTCCTCTTTCGACAGTCCTTCTCCAAGTGGTCTTTGGCCTCCTCTTGCCCTTCGACCTTCTGGTGTCCACCCTAGTGCCGTAAAACAGTTGTTCACACCCTCTCTCCTGAGTACGTGTCCTAACCAGTTCCACCTTCTTCTTCGCACCTTGCAACTAATTTCATTGATCTCTGCCTTTTCAACTACTCTCTTATTTGTCATTCTATGCTGCCATCTGATCATCAGTTTCCGTGTTAGGCATTGGCGTTAGAAACTGTTCAGTTTTCCTCCACCGGTCTTTGTGATCTTCCATGTTTCACGACTATATAACAGGACCGATTCGACTAAGTCTTGAATAGGCGTATCTTGGTTCTCCCTCTTATTCCTCTGGTTGCCCACACCTTCCATAGCCTCTGGAATGCACCGCGTGCTTTCTGCGGTCTGTTTCTTATATCTTCACCGTCTCCACCTTCCCTGTCTACAATGGCTGCTTCCTCCGTCAATCTCCTTGTCTTTACACCCAAGTCTTTAAACTTGGATGAAAGTAGAGCGATGTCATCCGCAAAATCAAGATCCTCTGACACTGTTGTTAAATTCCACCGTATCCCTCTTCTCTCGTCTGTTGTTGTCTTCCTCATGATCCAACCCATAGACATCAAGAATAAGAATCCTGACATTACACATCCCTGCTTTACTCCTGACTTAATCTTGAACCAGTCTGATATCTTCCATCCGTCGATTACGGCGCATTCCAACAATTCGTATATGCCTACTAGAACGCTCACCATCTTTCGCGGAATTCCATAGCTCCCCATGATGTTCCACAAGCTTTCTCTGTCAACCGAATCGAAGGCTATTTTCAAAGTCCACAAAGTGCGTTTACAGACTCGCACTCCACTCGTTTGCCTGCTCTAAGATGTTATTTTTTAATTATAAGGATCTGTTCAGTTGTACTGTCATTGGTCTAAAGCCAGCTTGCTCTTTTTGAAGCGTCTTGTCTACAAGTTCAAGTTTCAAGCTCAAGTTCAAGTTTATTATTTCACACTGTTTACAGAAAAAATAACTTAACATAACATGATTTACAATGATATAGAAAATGACAAACAGAAATTAACTAGAAGAAAGAATATTTAATCATGTACAGTGACCAAAGTGGCCAATGAGCTTTCGAGTTCGTCACTGTCATGTGTAGATATGAGTTGGGGTTGACCGCATATTAAATATAATTTAAATAAATAGTTACATTAAAGACGATACTGTTATCGTAAGAGAAGAAAGACATACACAAATGCAAGTTAGAATAAAAGGACAACTGTATATTGTGAAGCATTATCTTATATAGCTAACAGTTAGACTATGGTCAATTTTGAGTACTCAATAACAATCTTTTATACCGCTTTTTGAATAGCATGTATGGAAAATGTTTAAATTCAGGTGGTACAGGTTCCCAAATTTTTATTGCAGAGAATTTAAATGTAGACATAGCATAATTAGTGCGTACTGATGGCTAGAGCACCACCTCTACACCTTTCTTGATCCGCCCTAGCAGCATCATTTGGAGTATTTTACTCATGATAGGTAGCAAAGTCACTCCTCTCCAGTTGTTGCAATCACGCAAATCACCTTTCTTGAATATCTTGACAACAAGTCCATTCTTCCACACTTACGGCCACGTTTCAGTTTCCCAAAGCCTGTTATAACATCTAATCAGCCTACCTGCGGTGTATTACATGTCAGCTCTCGGTAGGTCTGGGCCCACTTCATCTTTTCCAGCCACTTTCCGTGGCTTTGTCTTACTTAGCGCGTCCTTAACCTCTTGTACTCGCTATCTTCCCACATCTATTTCCTCAACTACTCCAGTTCTCCTGTTTCTTCATTCTCTCCCACTGGATTTGTTGGGTCATCTCTGTTTAAAATTTCACTCAAGTGCTCTACCCATCTCTGCGATCTTTCTTGTGATTCTGTCTTAAGCATCCCTTTTAATGCATCCGGCTTCTGTAACATGCGTTTCTTTCTACAGGGCAGGGTCGTTAACCCTGCGCCTAAACTCCAACTTGAGGACCTGGGGGTCACTCTTAGTCTAGGTTTTTACCCATCGATCTGTTCGGCATGGGTGACCTTACCAGGAGTGTAGGTCTGCAGCCAGCATAGTTCTAGGTGTCATTGAGATCAGATTGGCGAATTTCTCTTGTGTTTATGTAAGAGTGATGGTTGGTTTCAAAGAAAGATGGTTTTCGTCTTGCCACGAGCGTGGGACAAAGAAAAAATGAGTTACGGGTGGATAAACTCAGTGCGGTTATCAAAAAAGTTTTGAATAATTCTTTATGAAAGTTTCAATTTGCTGTTTTTTTTCTCTTTAGTTAAATGCAAGATGTTCAAACGCGATTCTCTGAAAAAAAAATACTCCTAAAGAGAGCGATACATATCATAGCGCGAACAATTTTCACGCTGATACAGTTTAAAAAGGAAAACGCTAATTTTCCATCTGTGATTTTCTGATAGCACAGCTAAGAATTCAAGCTAAGAGCTCAGGGGCAGCAATGCTCATTTTTCTTGTTTTCATGCGAAAAGGATAAAATAAAGCTTCAAAGGAATTTACCGGCGTTATTTAACAATTGGTTCAGCGTGCGTTCATCGAGATATGAAGCACGCGGGAAGTTTGGGGAGCACGAAAGATGCGTAAAAGTTGCTCGAGGCGTAGCCGAGAGCAACTCTAGCTTCTTGAGTGCTCTCCAAACTTCCCAAGTGCTTCATATCTCGATGAACACACAGCTGACGTATGAACCAATTGTTTTATAACATTTTCAACCCGATGAAAAAATTTGTTTTGGAGGGATTTGTTTGCTGACGTCATGAGCATGCACAATAGGAATATGAAGCAC